TCACGAGCCGTTGAACATGGGCGGACATCCTCAGGAGTGCGGTCCGCTGCAGCAGTGCAGTGCAGGGCGTGGCGGGCATGACGTGGCGTCACGGCAGTGGTCCACCAGCAGCCAAGCATGTGCCGTCGCGCTGGGTCGAGGCGGCGGCCTGAGCTGATCGTGGCCGGCATTCAAGCAGCTGGGGGTCATCCTATGTGCCTGCAGAAGAGTTCGCCATCGACTGCTGTTCGGTCTGGGATCCATATGTGAGGGCTTGGTGATGCTGGCGTGGGGGGGCAGACAAGACAGACAGACAAGACAGACAGACATGATGGATGGATGGAGAGGGTCTGACAGGGTGGTGGGGCGGAGGTGTGGCGTGTGCATGTTGAATGGCCACTGACGCTATCCACAGACTCAGTTCCCTGGTGTGTGTCAGTGGACTGCATTATCGTGGATCAAAATTGCGACATGCACGCATGAAGGTCCATCCATCCATCCACGCACACACGGAAATCGGTCTGTCATGTCTATGCAAAGCTATGTCTTCCACTGCTGCTGCCACAGCGGCTGCTCCCCTCACTCATGCCGACTTCACCTACAGAGCACACAGACATTCATTTAGTCAGAAATTCAATCCCTCGATTCATCGACGTGTCTCTGCCTTCCCCTCGGTACCTCACCTGGTAGATGGCGATCTCCTTGGCGGTGAAGTACCAGTCTCCCGCCAGTGTGCCGCTGTCGCCGCTGAACCGGCCGAGGTAGCCGTTGTCGGGCAAGTCCTCCGTCTTGACGAAATGCCCCAGGCTGCGCACGTCGTCTGACGGGCCGGGGCTGGCCAAGGCAAACCACAGATACCCGTGGCCAATGGTCATCTGCGCACAAGACGTGCGAATTGACCCACAGATGACTGTGGCTGTTCTCGTTCGCCCGCCATCAACCCACCTTGCCGCGGATATCCTCATTGGTGGATTGGATGGAGGCGTCGCGGCCGGCGACCTGCACCGTCTGTTTGGCCTCGGGGATGGGCACCTTGGTGACTTTGCCGTACGCACCGCTGATGGAAATGAAGAAGTGGGGCACCTTGTATCCATTGGTCTGTCTGGGGTCGGTGGGCGGCTTGACTTGTCCCTCGACGAAGGCTCCGAATCGGTGTGTGTCGTCGTGATTGATAAGGAACAGCAGACCGCTCGCGTCGCCCACCTTGTCCACCATCGTGCCGAAGTCACCACCGTCACGCGTCGATCTGACAGAGGGCAAGCGGGCAGAGGGCAATGGGGCGACATTGCGAGAGATCAGATGGTCGTTTCTGCTTACCTGTAGAGAAGTTTGATCGAGGGGCTGGGTATCTCTGTCATGGCCAGCACCTCCTGCGTCTCCTCGAAGGTGAGCAGTGGGGCCGGGGGCCGATAGATGTCCTCCATCTTGAGGCCATACATCTCAACATCCTTCTGCACACACACACACACACACACACAAACAGGTTGAGTGCATGGCCGCCTTGATGCATCCATGTGTGGACGGATCAGCCATACCTTCAACTGAGCGATATACTTGGGCTTGGCTGTGGGCTTCTTGACCACGGCACCGGGCCGCTTCTCGAGTCGAAGGCGGCGAGCAAAATCCACCAACTGAATGGCCGCCAGAAGGACTTGCAATGTGACCTCCTCTCTCTCTCTCTCTCTCTCTCCCCTCTTGTGTGCGTCGTGGTTGTGTGTCACCTTTGTGAAGTGCTCAACGGATGTCTGCCGGATCGGTACGTCGCCCTGCACAATCTCACCGCTGCACGCCACACACACAAGAGAGGAATGAACACAATGCACCCCTCAAATCGAAGTCTGTATGGTGCTTGGTGCATTCCCACCTGAATCGCTTGTAGAGGAGGTTGTCGGGGCCGAGCTGCGATAGCGTCGCCTCGGTGGTCGACACCTTCTTGCGCAGGACGGTCACGGTCTTCACCTCGTGGGCGCCGCCGTCCTCTGCTCGGAGAAAGGACCCCATTGCCCTCCCGAATCCCTCCAAATGTACTACCGCCTTCTCCAGCACCGCCACCGCATCGTTGTAGCTATCCAAGTACTCACGCAGCCGACTGCCGGCAGTCTCCTCCCCGCTGCTATCTCCTGCCCCCTCTCCATCGCCCCCCTCGCCGTCGCCGCCCTCCTTGTTGCCCTCCGCCGCCTCTCTGTCGTCCATATCTGTGTCGTCTGATCGCACGTCGATCTCGAGTGTGGTCTGGGTGAGGAACAGCTCGTGGTAGAAGGCGAACGAAGGGTCCTCCTTCTGTGTGTCGTCCAACTCGATCTCGTGCTCCTCAGCTGAGGAGTCAGCACCCTCAACCAAAGCTATCTCGTCAGACAACCTGAAGAGCGCCAAGGAGAGCAAACAAAGCGCAATGAACACAGACCAGACAGACCCCCATTCCCCTTGATTCCACCTACCACTTGACATAGTTGAAGTCTGCGTCGAGGAACGGCCGCCCCTCCTCATCTCGCGGCAGGGCGTCCACGCAGTACAGCAGCAGATGGGCGAAGTAGGTGCGGCGGAGCTGATCCAGCATCAGCCCCTTGCGCGACACACCCACCACCCGGCCGCCCACATTGACCTCCACCTTCCCCTCGATGCCGCCCGTCAGCTCCAACTTGCCGCCCGTGCTCTCAATCAGCTGTTTGATGGCCTCGGCTTTGCTCTGCAGCTGCTGGCGGGCACTCCTGGCGGCATTCTCCATGGCGAGGAGAGCGGTGTTGGCTGCGGCGATGGCCTTGTCGAGTGACTGACGGCCGATACGAGGGGCGGGAGGGTGGTGGTCATCAGCCGGCTGGCCTGCCGCGTCAACAGCATCACCGTTAATCGCCTTGCGCTTCTTCGAACCACCTGTTGTTGCTGCCGCAGCTGCGGCTGCCGACATGGTCAGCTCGCGGGATGAATCAACGGGGCATGGCGACCGCAATGCCTCTTCGAAGACGACTCCGTAATGAGTCTGCAAAATGCGAGCTTGAATGCAACGGTAGGATTCACGCGCCCCGGCGAGTCCTCTTTTGCCTGATCTGATCTTGTGATTGCGACGTTCAGGTGCCCTGCAGATTCACCGAGACCGTCGAAACTCGAGCAGCTGATCTTGCAACATTGCTGAGCTTGGATCAGCGCGCCGGTCACTCTGCAGCTGATGCGGAGGAGCGCAGAGCCCTCATTCAGCTTGTGAAGCATCGCGCCAGCCACTTTACGCATCATCAGGGCGAACAGCCATGCAGCAGCCAACCGTTGAGCAACCATCGGCAGCGGATGGAGGCCAGGCAGCTGTGGGAAGGGACACATCGGCTGAGGTGGCGTGTCTGGACGCCGGGCAGCTGACCGTGCATAACGAAGCCATCACGGGAGGCCAGACACCACACGCATCAGGTACGGCCACACTGTCCACCCACTGGTTGTTATGTGTTGATTCACCATCTGCAGAAGCAGCAACGTCCGATGCCGGAAAGGGCAAGGCTCGCCACAGGCACGAGCACCAGTCGAGTGTGGCGGCCGTCGACTCTCTGTCGTCATCTCCACACTCACGACGGAGGCGCAAGGCGGCCAACAGGGATGGTGCGTCGGTGTCTGCCGGTGATGTGTGGTCGTCCATCTGTGTGTCTGACCCCCAGTGGGCCGCCGACAGAGACAAAAAGACCAGCACCAAGGGGAAGACCGTCATCACCAAATCAGGTGAGGAAACCAACAAGCGAATCCACCGCAACCGATTGATTATGTGTGGTACCAACTGCAGTGCATCAGTCTGACGTGGCGGGTGTTGCTTGGCACAACGCGGGTCAGGCCTGGCACTCAGGCTGGTACGAGAAGGGCGACCCGAACAAGAAATCTAAGTACTTCTACGTCAAAGACCATGGCTTCGACAGAGCCAAGGTACGCAGAACGTCCCCTCCTTCCCTCTCCCTCTGAGTGTCTCATATGTGTCCATCCATCTATCAGACATTGGCCGAGCAGCATCGTTGTGAGCTGGAGCGCACCGGACGGGCTGCGGTCAAGAAGCGAGCGGAGCACCAGAGCGGCGTCAGGGGCGTCCACTACCACAAGGGCAGCAACGCATGGGTGGCCTCATGGCAGGAGGGCGGCAGACAGAGGAAGGAGAAGAAGTTCTCTGTGCGGCAGCTGGGCTATGAGGGCGCCAAGCGGGCTGCCATCTCTCACAGACGGAAGATGGAGAAACGACACCACGAGTATCGAGTGGCCGCCTCTCCACCGCCCCCGTCATTCGAGCTGGATGATGACAGTCGTCCACCGATCCGCCCCACCAAGCGGCGACGCAAGGACACAATGGATCACAGCAGCACTGCCGATGACACCCAACCGACCGACAGCAATGGGCGGCCAGCCGACGAGTCGGCCAGTGACATCGCTCGGCTTGACACGACGTCTGATACGGCCTCGCTGGCCATTTTGCTGGAGGGTGTGCGTGCGAGCGATCCTGAGAGTGGCGGTCGGTATGAGATCGTCACGGTGACGGTGGCCGGCCAGCAGACGGGGGCGATTCGGTGGATGCCAACAGGTGCGTCTCACTCGTTCGTTCACTGGCTGCCGTCCATTGGGGTGTGTGTGTGTGGTTATAGGTGTGGATGTGCCGTCTGATGGGCGAGTGACTGCCCAGGCCATGAGGGTGGCGCGGCCTTCCACACAGGAGAGGAGCGAGCCACTTCCCCTTCCCCACGCCGAGGCATCGACGGCAGCGCACCGCAATAACGGTGAGCCAGACAGCACTTAGACGCCAGATTGAGTCAACAGACCCTCCCACACGCCCTCTTCTGGCTGTCTGGCTGTGTGTCAATTCACTCAGGGTGCGCCGACCCAGAGGAGCGCCACGCGCCAAGCAGCTCTGTCGATGGGCATGGCGGCCATAACGGCCGTGTGGCCTCGGCTGACCGCAGCCCCCCTCCCAAGCTGTGCGGCCCAGCCGGCCGTCATGTGGCGGGAGGACTGACGGGCGATGCGCTGGCTCGCGCACTGGTGCGGTGGATGAGGTACCAGCAGCCGGGAGAGTTCCATGCACCAGACAGAGGAGGGTGAGCATGACCAAGTGCATGGCGCTCTCGCGTCACTTGTGCATCTGTGTGTTTCATATCTGTGTCAGGATCGGCATCTCATGGCGGACCAACCACAGTTATGAGGCCTACTTCTGGGACAGCGACGCATCGAAGGCCGTCGATCTGCGTCAGTTTCCCGTCGGCTATGGCGCCTCGGGCGCGGCCATCTTCACGGCCTTCCGTGAGGCCGTCGAGTACCGCAATGCGCTCCACCGGTCGCGTGTGGGCGATCAGGCGATGCTCATCGATCTGTCGTGGCTGCAGCGAACGCAGCAGGGGCAGGGGCAAGACGGCGTCCCTGGTGTGCCTCCCAGCCGCAGCACTCATCTGAACGGGGGCAACAACCGCAGCAAGAGGCCCAGGCTTGAGGGCCCACCGTTGGACTCCCCTCTCTGTCCCCACCCTGCCCCGCCCGCCGCTCCTCACCTCCCAGCCCGCCCCCGTACGCGTCGAGAAGGAGACGCGACACTGGACCGACGTGCCCGGCAGAGGAGCAGCGTGGCTCGGGCGGCCCGCCAGTCTGATGAAGGCAGCCGCTCACCGTCTCCCCAGCCACGCCGGAGGCCCAAGGCGGCCAAGAGGGATGGTGCGTCGGTGTCTGCCGGTGATGTGTGGTCGTCCACCGATGCGTCCGACCCCCAGTGGGCCCCCGACAGAGACAACAAGGCAGGCAGCAAGGTGAAGACCGTCATCACCGAACCCGGTGAGGAGACCAAGAAGCGAATTCAACGCAACCCGATTGATGTGTCCCGCCCATCGCAGAGCATCAGTCTGACGTGGCGGGAGTCTGTTGGGACAACGCGAGGCAGGCCTGGAGGGCATTGTGGTGCGAGAAGGGCGGCTCGAAGAGGAAGCAGAAAAGCTTCTATGTCAAGGACCATGGCTTCGACACAGCCAAGGTGCGAACCACGTCCCCTCTCTCCCTCTGAGTGTCTCATATGTGTGCTTCCACCTATCAGGCGTTGGCGGAGGAGCATCGTCGTGAGCTGGAGCGCACCGGACGGGCGTCGGTGAGGAAGCTATCAAAGCACCAGAGCGGCGTCAAGGGCGTGTGGTACGACAAGGCGAACAATTGCTGGATGGCCAGCTGGCAGGAGGGCGGCAAAGAGAAGAGGAAGCCCTTCTCAATCGCTGAGCTGGGCTATGAGGGTGCCAAGCAGGCCGCCATTGGACATCGCCGGGCGATGGAGGCGAAGCATTACAGATACCACAACAAGGGAGAGACGGCCGCCAAGTGAGTGACAGAGGCATAGAGGGAAGGATTGAGGGAGGGAGGGAGGGAGGGAGAGAGCGAGGGAGAGGTGGGGCCGTCTGACGGATCTAAGACTTATGGCATTCTATACGTCTGAGGGAGATGGGGGGGGTCGGGTCTTCCTTAGGGAGAAATGCGGACCGCTGCACACATGGCATTCGGCTTTTTTTCTCTGATGCGCCCGCCAGAATGGCTGTGCCCTGTCTGGCTGGTGTGCGTGTGTCTGTGTCCCTTTCTCGGTGTTTCATGAGAAAGACGGACTCTCTTGTGCTGGTTTTTGCCGCCCCTGTGATTGGCCATTGTTTGAGTGAGTGGCCATTGTGACGTTCGTCACTCACTCGCTCACTCAGTGGTCTCCGTGACCAGAATGGGCATTTATCTATCGGGGAATGGGTGACACATACACTACACCTCGGCTTCCCTCAGATCCCTTCCTGTGTTTTTTCTGCTCCCTTTTGATGTGGTGATGGTTCCTGTTGGTTGGCATTGCATTGGTCGTTGTCGTGTTGCGGTTGGCTGGCCGGGTGACTGACTGGCCGCCTGACCTGATCGATGCTATGCTCG